GTACTCCAGCATAGCAGTTATTTCTTCAGTTATCCTTCACTTTGCCACGCTCTTTCAGTCTAAGAAAATGAACTCTCCGTGATCCTTAACCATCCAGGTCGCTTGAACCACACAAGTTGCCCAGGGAGGATGCAGGTCTGCATACCCAGATCTATGGAAAGGCTGCCTGCACATGGTCCTGGGCGCTCCAGGTGACCCTGCTCGAGCAGGGGGTTGGACTAGATGATCCCTAGGGATCTGATAGGATCAACAGAGCTCCTTTATCAGACCTGCCCAAACTGGGCTTGCCAGGGTTCGACATCTGCTGGTATGAAACCTCCAGCCGCCGTGACTCAACATTTTCCTGAGCCTTGCGGGAGTGGCAAGAATTAACACAAAGACTTGAACACAAAGACTTTCCTGTATTTTTTTTTCCAATAGAAAATGTAATATTGATCATTCCTGCCTTTTTTTCCGAGTTGGCATTTCCCCAATTTCTTTCTATTTGATTTGTTAATCTCTTTTCTTTCTCCTGTGTTTTAAGAATGCATTACTATTGTTCACAAGTCTGCAGACCATTTTTTGGTCTATTTGCTTCCTTATCACTTTTCTGCAATCATCTATCTTCTGATTCATATTCATTGTTATCTACTTCTCTTTTCTTCCATTTGTTATACATATTTTTATATTTCCATTTCTCTCCAACCCCAGACGTTTTTCTAAGCAAAGTTACTTTCTTTCTATGTTGTGGTCTTTTTAATTATTAAAATGGTCTTAAAGCAGTTTACAGTTTATATGCTTAAATTCTTCCTTGCAGGAATTTGATTCAGTTGGTTTCAGTTTATAAAAATGGCCTTGTGGAAGCACCAGGTACTATTTAAAATGTCTGACGTCGCTTCGCGGTGCAATCCACTAGCAAAAATGTTCCAAAATACTTTTAACCCCAGTGGAGAGATAAATTATATGGAGTGAAAAATTAAGAGCTTTTTTCAATTTTGAATTAATGAGCCTGCAGCTAGAATACTGCAAGTAGTTCAGAGCGCTTCCCTACCAGACAGCTGACACCTGAAAAGACTTTCGAAAAAAATCAGTCAAGGACTGAGAGCACTTTTGAAGAATGCTTGAAGTAATGAAATATTCTTAGCTAGCTGACAAGTGGAGAGCCGTCAGGCAGGTATTTTCAAGGAAATGCATTGCATATAAGGTTTTAAGTAAAAGATGGGGAGGAAGGAAGATGGAGATATGAAAGAAGCAATAGCAAGGTGTTTTGGATATGGATGGGATTCAGAAGGAGGGATTAGCTGGTTCTTTTAGACTGAAAGAAGACTTGAAATGCCACTTGCACAGATGGGACAGTTTTCCTTGGGCATGAAGCGCATGGAGGAGACAATGGCCAAATAGATTCTCCATCTTTTTATCTTGTCCTGGACCTTTCTTAAAATTTTGATTTTACTCCTTTTCAGTCCTTTGGTTTTAGTCCTTTACTCAGTTAAAAAGGAACTGGCTGTTCGAGGCAGTTAAACTTATCAGGATGGCTTGAACCCGCACCGCTTTTTCTGGACTGTTTTCTTTGTGACATTCACGTAATACATGGCCAGCAGGCAGCACAGATAGTCTCCCACAGGGCATGCTTTTTGAACGCAGCACATTTAATTCAAGGTGAAATGACATTGAACTGTGACAGACCCTTAGACTGGAGGGCCTTTTCAAAATCTACACTAAGTCCTTTAACAGTACCACCACGAAGAACAGAAAAACATGATTACAGCTCTGTCAGTTCCACCAAGAGACTTCTCCAATATACTCTGAGGCTACAAGATCCGCACAGGCCAAACTAAACACTGTTTGACTTGTGCCACTGCAATATCCCTGTGAGAAAGACCTCAGTACACATTTGCCATACAAATGTGCAGATTTTCTGTTCCTCTGTTTAACATCATTGGTTTTAATGGGGACTAATTTCAACATGAAAATCAGGGATTAGTGTTCTCTGCTTGCAACATTAGTTGATGAAATAAAATTTTGTTGTCTTAGACCTTGCCTCAGAGGTGCTCAGGCAGCCTGTGCTCAGCGCATCTACAACGCCCCTGAAGCTGCAGGACACAGGCTTGGACAGAGAGCTGTGTCCTGGAAACACTAAGGACAGCTCTGCTGCACGTAGAGCTTCCTCAGGGCGGGATCCTGGACTGTAGCAGGTCCACACCATCACACATCTTGTCTCCTCCACTGAAAATGTACCGTGCAATTCTGCAGACCGGTGGTGTAGATCTTGTTATCCGCGATGCTCCCACTTCTGTGATACCCTGCTATGATTTCTGACAACATGTGGAGTTTTCTGGTAGCAGAAAATATTTTGCTTAGAAAGCCTGCACTTGTCTGGGAGGGCTTTGCAGCTATCACAGAAACAAGACAATACAACTATTTAAAAATCAGGTTTAGAAGATGCTTCATGATGCCGGTTCATTCAGGTTGGCTTGGTGCCATGTGCCCGAGTGCTCTGTCCTTGCAGGACTGCCTCACTCTGCCAAGGAAAGCTCCACATGCAGCCTTCGCTATGCAGTGGTCCTCGCCCCTGCCCCAAGGGTGTTTTGTATCCACAAACACGTATTCTTGGGAGTCTCTAATATACATGCCAACTAGTCTTCATTTGTAATTTATTTGTTACTATTCTGTGTTTTGCCTTAAAAGCAAGGTTGCATAGTAATAACACAACCTTAATAATAAAGTTGGCAAACCTCCAATTACATCAGATTTGAAAAGAGTTTATAGATACTGTTAGAAAGAGAACCAGTGCTGGGCAGCAGCAGCTGTATTTGTAATGCAGCAGTGAAAGAAAGGACAAGAACCATGCTTTTCACAGCCTTAAAGTTGGACTGCTTCCAGGAGCCACAGCAGCAGGAGGCCTCCATACCCGTCTTGACTGTTATGCAGAAAGCTAAGGCAGAAATTTCTCCTTGAACAGAGAAACGAATTGTGTGAGAGTGTCCTATCCCTGTTGCCAGGGTTTTGCAGCAGTGCAACCTCAGACCAGTTCAGAGACTGACACTTTGCTACCATCCTCAGAAGTATTTCCTGACCTGGCAGTTTCTGCCTGTATTACCACCCCTGGACAGCTTCCCATGACTTATGCACAGTAGTAACATCTGTTACAGTGACAAATATTTCAAAGTCAGGAAAGTCTAATTATTGCAGCTGCTCAGCACTGGAATACACCAAGCCTGAGACATAGAGCAACTCTAGGGATTGAGCCGAAACTAGGTGAAAATCCCAAGTGGCAGTTGCAGCGCTCACTTCTCCCAAGAGTGGAGAGGAACTTTCTCAGGTCACAGCACCTGCACAGCAATGCTCTATGTTTGCAATATCCTGTGAATAATATGATTGGCAAATCAAATCCTCACAGTGGAGTTTCACCTACTTTTCTTCCAGCAAGCTAGCACAACAACTCAACTACAGCTGTTCTGCCTGGCATTGAGAGTTGAGCAAGTTCTGATCATCCTCCATCTCCTGTGGAGTGAGAGAGTGGACGGTTTGTGGTGAGGAGGCTTCTCAGTACCTTGTCTCTGCATATCCATAGCATGCAGGAGCAGAAACGAACCATGTTGTCTAGATTTGCAGGACTCACATCGGTCTTTACTGAGATACAGGCAACTGATGAAAATGCAAAACATTGGGACGCGCAGGTAATACACAGAAGCATTTTATAAAGGCCTGACATGAGAGGTTTTCCTAGTTGTCATGTAAGGCCTGGCAGTCTACCCGAAACAACTTGGACTAGAGTCAGCAGGGAGCTTCCCACCCTGACCAGCACGGATTCTGCCTGCTCCTGCCTCTGCACTGCTGGGGATCGGGGCTGTGAAGTTGCAGGGACTCAGAAGGTCAAGTCAATCTCTCATCAGGAAGACTACACAGTCTGCTGGCCTCCTCCTGAAGCTCCTTTACTTGGTGACACCAATACACCTCTCCTGCATGCAAGAGATCAGCTGCCCTGGCCGCAGCTTCAGTGAGAGGACTCAGGAAACCCTGGGACCTCAGGCCTGGACAGCTGCATCCTGCTTTGTCTGACTGTCCCCGGCTGTAGTGGGGACAGTGTCCTGTGATACATCGTCACTATGATGGAGCAGGTGGGTGCTGCTTGGGGAAAAGTCTCCGGTCCCCTTCTGTGCATCCTTCTGAAAGCTGCGCCCTGTCTAGCCCTAGGACAGGCCTTTCCACGCACCTGCGAGACTGGTGCCTGATCCTCCCCAGTCAACAGTCAGCTGGGACACAGCACCAAGCTCCTGCGGACCAGAAACAGCTGACAGAGCTTTCTAGAAGCCACAGCTCCCAGCAGTCACCCTCTCCACACACCCTGGCATTCCTCGGAGCCTTCCCAGGAGCCTCTCGATGATTCCAGAAGTCTCGAGGGGAATAAGTGTCTGGAAACTGCTGTGCCTGCTCACAGCCCCTGCCAGCCATGTTCCGCTGTGCCACATGAGCAGGGCGAGACTGGGGCCTCTCGCACAGGCCTACGGCTTCTTGGCAGTTTTAGCTCTTTGGTTTTGCAGAAGATTAACATCTCAGTTACGGAGCACAGTAACAGAAATTATTTATTTTTTTTTTAAGTAGTCTATAGGATTGTAGCAAACTGTCATCGCACAAGAAATTTTTAGGTTGAGCTGTTAGGATAGTGTCACTTTGTTATCGGCACTGCTAGGCTGTCCAGCTTCATAAAATGGCTGCTGCTACTCCTTGTAACACCTTCCTTGACCCATGGGATGTGGGTCCATTTCCCAGCCAAGCCCCACACCCTGAGACGGCCCCAGCAGGCCCCAGTGGCTCCCACACAGGTCTCCATGCGGGGGGACCACCCCAGCCTCCGCCCTCTGGGGGCTGTACCACAAGATGGCCACATGCAGTGTGGGCAGGGCCAGGAGCTGCCACTCAGCCCCAGGGTGGTGCCACCCATCCCCTTTATAGGGCTCCTCGGCCTAGCCTGGGGCAGTGGTAGTTGTGGTGTTCTTGTGTGTTTGGTTCCTGCCAGAATGATGGGGCTGCGTCTGGACTTGGGGCTGTTCCTGGAGCCCCTGGGCTTCATCAAGGTCTTGGAGTGGGTGAGTGGAACCCTGGGCTGCTCCTCATGCCCCTTCTCTGGGGGTGTCCCTGGGGCTCATGGCAGGAGCCTGAGCTTGGCTTTGCTGGTGTCTTGTAGCCTCTTGGGCCCAAGAAGGAGCCTCCTGACAGGCTGCTCTCCTAGCCTAGTTCTTTGCTTACTCATTGCCCTCACCAGCTTCTTGAGCTAAAAGGCTGGGTTTGCCCCCTTTGAGCTTTGCTGGTATGTTTAACATCCAGCACTTTCCCTGGAAATGAAAGCAGTAGCTCTAGTCAAGGATGAGATAAATGTCCAGGCTTCATGTTCTTGCCCTTTGACAGTCTTAAGGGAATGAGTGTAATTAGGCTTAACTGCTGGAATACTTCCTCTTGGGTGACTTTAAAACTGCTTGTATGCAGGATGGCAGGCTTATTCCTTCTCCCAAATGTTCTGGGGTATGAAATAAGACTTAAATGGGCTGGTTGTTAACTTGAAGAAATACAGATCTATAGAAAGTAGAAGAAGACTGAAGATTAGGGTCTGCTGTTGTAGTCATATGTTCTGTGTATGTTTCTGTAGGTTTTCTCCATCTTTGCTTTTGCGACATGTGGAGGTTTTCAAGGTGAAGTTACCCTCCTTGTTTCCTGTAAGGGAGTGGAAAACAAAACAGTTACAGCTGCTTTTGCTTATCCATTCAGGTGAGTCTTCAGCTGTTGTTCATACCTTCTCCCATGTACCCCACTGAGTTCCTTTTTTCTGTCTAGCTCTTACAGATACAGACATCTAAAAGTAAGTATTTGTGGGGAAATCACCTGAAACTTGTGGCTTGTTCACAGCAGTCAAGAATTTGAAATATTTTTGTTGCACTCTTTCAAAGCATTGTGGTTGTCAGAGCCCTGTAGAAAGAGTTTTGTAGGTATGACAATAAAATATATTGCAGCTTTTTATTGCCATGTTCTAGCATTGTGCAGGTGTTATGGAAAGTGATTGTTTAATAAGCAAAATAATATAATTAATCTTAACAGCTTCTTCATTCATCAAACTGTAGTTGCACTGGTGATCCAGATAAGGTTATATATGAGCCGCTGGTATAAAAACTATTGAAAGATGGCATGGAAAAACTTGCTCTTTCAAATTATTTCACTATTGTCTTTACAAGGCAGCTGGGTACATGGTAACCAAATACTCTTCTGCCTTTTGTACCTGCTCTTGCAGGTAAAAAGATCTAGAAGTGTAAAATGGGCCAATTTCTCTTCCCTCTGTACTAAGAGGGAGGTTTCCCCTGTGATCTAGAAGATGTGCAGTTGCAACACACTCAGGCTCTGTGCTCAATAAGTTTGTGAGAAGCACAGATGTAACAACAGAAAGGGATTCAAATGCCAACTAGTAAAGGCTGCTGCAGAAATGCAGAGCTTGGCTGTGAAGCTGAGCATTGTAACAGCACTTGGGGAGGAGAGCAGGAATCTGAAACACTTCTGTGCCACCTGCTTGCTGGTCAGCGGGGTTGGGTTGAAATTGCTGTAATTGGAGGCTCAGTGCTTGCCTGTGCTTTTAATTAATGATGTAACTTGGTGCCTTAAACCCTCATCTGCTTGTTTAACTATCAGTGTCTGAACTTAATAGTTTAACTGTAATAGTCTGTTTCCAAATTGAGTTTTCTTTCTTCAAGATAAATTTTGATCTTATGTCTCAAATAACTGAGGTTGCTATTACCTTTGTTCTGCCTCCTACACCAAATCTCAGAGATCTTCACACATCTTAGTATTATGGCTACTGCATGAGTCAGTATGTTTTATTGTGTAACTTCAGACAGCCTAAATGCTGAAGCACTGTTCTTGTAAAGCATGACTATGAAATTTTCACTCTGTGGCAAACTAACTACATGAGGGATATAATCTTTCCAGGTTAAATACTGTTGTGTTCAGCGTGCCGGATCCTAAACGCTGCGATGGTACTTGGACTGACTTCTATCTTGTGGGCAACTATGCCTCTTCTGCCCAGTTCTTTGTTACACTTGCAGTGTTGGCATTCCTCTACTGCACTGCTGCCCTTGTCATGTATATTGGATATATGCATGTGTATCAGCGTAACAGCAAGTTTCCACTGACTGTAAGTAATGCTAAAATATGTTAATTAAAAACATAACCTCTAAAAAGAGAAATACTGCTCATATGAGTATATCAACTAACTCATGAAATGCTAGGAGGAGCATGAGTGCAAATTTGAGACTAGTGCCCGTGACACTTGAGTAGAAAAGGGGATCTGAAGTTCTTGAACATCTATAGCATCTTTTATTTTAGACAGTTCCTGAAGCAAAGAGTGGAATGAAGTTCTAACTTTCCAGGTGAACAGTGTCCTCTCTACAACTTCTTAGAGCATGTGTAGGAATATACCACTATTCCATATGGGGAGCCCATCTGTTAGGCTCTAGGAGTGTGCTGTGTAGAGCACCTGCTGAGCAATGCAATGAGTAAAGGGAAATAACTGCCTTGGAGTTTTAGTTATCTTTAAATACTAAAGTCCTGACTAGCATCTTCAAGAAGGCTTCTTCAGCATGCCTAGAACCAGACATAGAGACATTGATACAAAATTTGAGCATTACCAGCCAACCAAATATAAGTTTTCTGCATTATTTCCCCCCTGCTATCCCCACTTCATTGAACTTTGATGTAAAGTTTCTACCGTAAGTATTAGATACCTGTTTTACAATGGAATTTCTTATCAAGGATAAAATTGCTGATGTTTGATAGATTCAAAAGGCAGACAGCTTTGTGTAGTTGATCATCAACACAGGTTATACCTTGTGTTGTAATTACCATATCATCAGTACCTAAAATGTGCTTATGCTTGTTAGCACTGATATGGTTATTTTGAACTAGTAATTGATACTCTCTGATACTTTTGTCAGATTCATGCAGTTTTTAGTCTACTAATGCATATTCCTCTTTTGTAGGACTTAGCCATCACTGTGATAACAGCCTTTCTGTGGCTGGTCAGTACTGCTGCTTGGGCAAAAGCAGTTACTGACATCAAAATATCCACTGGTGGCAGCATCATTCTAGAAGCCGAGTCTTGTAAAGCCCCAGGAACAACCTGTCTTCTTGATTCTGTAACCCGCATGGGAACTCTGAATGTGTCAGTGGTATGTACATCTTAGGATGCAGTTACTGGCCCCATATGGTGTTTGATAGTCTCTGGCAACAGAGAGCCCTGTTTGTTACTACTCACATTGCTGCTTAAGATTGCTTTATGGGTCACTAGTCATTCAGGTCCATTAATACTGCACCAGATCACTGACCAAAATAGCAAACAGAACTGTTAGGTGTAGTATTTACAGACATACAGAAATTCCTGTGTCCTGACTGGAGCTAGGAACTTACAATATATTACTGGATAAGCCCATTGAAATGGTTTGAGGGGTACAAGTGAGAAACTTCATTCCCTGTTGTCTTTGGTGTCAGACTTGTTCTTTTATCAACTGTGAGAATCTCTTGCACCTCAGACAGCTTCTTTATAATGCCACGATTGGTATAGAGTGCTTATGTTAATAGAAAACTTCTCCTCCAAAGCAGGACAAATGAGGTACTCCCTGTACAATTCTCGCAATAAATCAAGCTTTTCAAAACTGACTGTTCATTAGCTTAGCAGTGATAAGTTTTGTGGTCTGAATGTGCATATGCAGAGCTGACTTATTCTGTCCTTTGCGTTGAATTAGAAAAAGTTGATTAGCAAACTTCTAAAGTCTGCTAAAATTTCTTCTAATGTGCCTTAAAGTGTCTTGTACCAAAATCAAAGGGATGCCAAAGATAACTGCTGCTTCTGTTTTATTTTGTGATCTCTAAACTTCTCACTATTTTTTTTCCTCTTTGACCTGCAGATGTTTGGTTTGCTTAATATGGTTCTGTGGGGAGGAAATGTTTGGTTTGTATACAAGGATACCAACTTGCACAGCCAAATAAACAAGACTTCTCTAAGCTCAGGAATATATCCAAGAAGAATATAAAAACAGGGAGATACTCTGCTGCTCCTACTTCATCACACTGCCAACTGTCTGGATTCATTAAGATTTCAGTAATTGATGACACTTTGGACCAACTTCTTTGTACTATGGTTTGACACAAGATCTTGGCTATCCTGATTGAAGCATTTATTATCTTACAAGATACTAAGCATTTTGAAGTTGTGCAGCTTTTTATTATAGTCTTGAAGAGCAGAATGTTTAGATTATATGCTGATCCCTTCAAGAGGGTTCTTTGGCCAGTATCATAGGAGGGATAGGTTTGGAGAGCACCTGCATTTGGGTGATTGTTAGAACCAAGTAAGCTGTAACAAGCCTTGTTTGAAAATTGGTGTGTAAATGCAACTAGGACATGGGAAATACCGATGAAAATGCAGTTGAGCTGCTGCTTAGGACTGATATCTTATGAAGGCCATCAGTAAAACTTACAGATCTGTCAGAGTTGCAGCTATCATATGTTTGTAGAACTGTTACTGCTGTAGCAAAAGCCTACTGATAAGTCTGAAAGGGTCTTATTTCAATATTTAATGCATTGTTACTTGTTAATGGCTTCAAGCAATCTCCAAACGGGAAAAGAGCTTACAGCTTAACTATAAACTCAGTTTGCTAAATCACTTGTTTTGTACAGTAAATGCCTTTGAAAGTATTGTCCCAAGCTGACACAAGTTCTGTAGAACTTGATGCAAATGTACCCCAACTGCTAGTGTTGGGGCTCCTGTAAAATCTTGAGGTGCATGGGCAATAGTTGTATATACACACATGGTAGAGGCACATAACTAGATGTGTGAATGTGCCTAACTCTGGATTGGCACTGTTCACTTTGTTAATACTTACGGGGAGCAATGTGTGTCTCTACTGAGGTATCCAACTTACTGTGGATTGTCTTAAGAGAATGTTTGTTTTGATAAATCCTCTAAACAAGCTGCTGTTCAGTCAGTTTCTGTTTCTTAAACTGTTTGTGATTAAAAATAGGCATAATGGTGTGCATGTACCACAGTTTACTATGTCAAATACTGATGTTTTGAGGGTAAACTTCCAAGCCAAAGAGTATAATAAAATGTCTGCTGCTGAAACCATGTGCCTGAAGTACTAACTGCTCAACAAAAGCAAGTGTGGTAGTGTGGGGGTGTGGGTGGTTTTTTTTTTTTTTTTTTTTTTTTTTTCTAAAGCTTCTGGGACACAACTCATTTTGCTAGTGAGGTCTGGCCATAGCTAAAGCTTTCTATGCTGCAGAAGGACTCTTACATCACTGCCTTGGGTTTTTGTAGAGAGGGCTAATTACTCTTGTAAACTCCAGCTGCTTGATGCTAGACAGGGCTTCTTTCTGATAACCCATGCTAGGGAGGGATTTTAAGCTATTTCAATGAAAGCTTAGACAAGCAGCAGTTTTAGACAAGGGGGGTGTGATTATTGCTTTTTTTGTGTGTGTGTCCTTTCACTTTTAGGATAAGACAATTAACTCATCTTCATGTTGTCTTTGTTAGTAACTGTACCTATACATATATGTTAGTACTTATAATACTACCCTGAGAACTGGCTTCTGTTTTCTTAAGGGTTACTTAATACCAAATTTTATCCAACCTTACAAAGGCCTCTTCTAACGGAAGGTAGGAGCAAAACCACACATGGCTGCTGCTTTTGCACCAAAAGCATGGGGATCAAAATCCTTTCCATTGCATCTCACTTCAGATAGTGCTGAGAAAGAAGTTGCAAATTACCCCATTGGCTGGGCAGGAAGTAACTCACAGGGCAGACTGGAATACAGCATTTGGAAAGGACAACAGCACTTGCCTTGCACATGCCCTACCACCAGAAGTGATGTGGTAAACATGGGGCTTGGGGTTTCATGATAATAATGATGGCCTTTCTTGCTTTGGAGCATCTGCCTTCCTTCAGCAGCTCTTAGCTGAGTGTTCTCAGCTGCCCTGTCTCCAGGATTGGTGTTTGGGACCAACTCCAGCACAAACTGCTCTGCAGAAACTATGGTGAAAAGCAGGAGGCTTTTGCTGTTCCATGAGTTGTGTAGAGTATGAAGCTTGTCTTGACTTCACCCTCCGTCATCTTCAGGATGTTCGTGATGGATGTTAGTGCTGACTGAAGCTGCAGACGTGCTGGGTCATTTAGGTAGGTTTTGGGTGCCAACTGGTCAGCATGTGTGCATCCTGAGTAGTCCCTTGCTGTTGGCATTTTTGACTGAAACACTAGGAAGCTACTTTGAGCTGGGTGTGTTTCCTGTTGCTTCAGCAATCTGAAGTGGATCTTAAAAGATTGGTTTCTTTGATTAAAAGGTGAGCCTGTGAAATTAGCCACAGGTGCAAGTAAGGTGAAAGCCTTAGCATTTCAGCAAGAAAAAATGTTAAATTTAACGTGCTCATTCTGTAACGCTTTTGTAAAGAGGCAGTTTCAGTCCTGCTCAGAATGGGAATTTTTCCTATTTTTTTTTTTAATGGATAAAGTAAGCACATGCCCTTCTTAGAGCCATTCCATTCAGAAGGCAAGGTGAGAAAATGTGGCAGACAGAGCAACAGCTGGCAAAATAAAGAGATTGTTTCTGAAAGGCTTACAAACCAACCATAAATGTATGGGATATGGAGGGGAAAAAAGGCAGTTTCAGATGTTAGAGAATAGCCCTTGTCAAGAACACCTGATTAGTGACTAGCGCAAAACCTGCCTGCATTTGCTTAAATCTTGCTCTCAAACGAAGGTGCAGCCATTGTGAAATGCACGTTTTTCTAAAGCAATAGATGATGTTTTACTTGCTGCCAGTCAGGGGAAGAGTATAGCAATTAACAGGGATGGTGTATTGAAGACATTCACGCAGGCTGCAGTATGTGGAATGCTCCACACAGCTAAATATTAGCAGCACCCTGGCTCTGCAGGCATAGCTGAATGTGACGTGTAGTCCACGGCAAGCAAGATTTTTTTAAAACGGAAAAATAGCTGCATGTCCCCTTCTGCATCACTAGGATAAGACTTGTTTCCCTTTGCACAGGGAGGGACTGATGCTGGCTGCAGCCCTTTGCTGCCTGCTAGCCCTGCGGCCGAGAGGAAGCAGAAAGCAGCATGTGCGGAGCAAGCAGCTGCTCTTGTTTACACTGGACACCCACAAAGCGTTGGGAAATCTTTGCCTTTGAATTGACATCACATTCATGCTGGCAGGACTGAGCTTACTCAAGCAGGAAAGGAAAAAAAAAAAAAAGACTGGTTTATCATTCATCTTGATGGCCTAAGAATCACCATGCCTGAAAGAAGAGGCACTGTGCAGGTTTGTTGTACAAGCCAAAGCAGAGTTGTCACAAAGTGAGAGGCCAGCTTTTGCTACTCAGTTACCATTAAATATTAACCTGAACATTTGAATTATTTATGAGGAAGATGCATGATAGGATTGCATCCCTACTTTTAAATACTGGCAAATGGATGTGCAGTTTTTTTCTCAAGATTAAATCCAGTTAAAACTGAACTTGCCTGCACCCTGTAGCACTCTTGTCTAGGTATTTTGTTTTTCATCTGTGCTTCAGGAAGGCACCAGTTACAGCTGGGTCATTCTATGCTTAAGATTTGCACCCCTGTTGATGCAGTCAATTGCTTTACTCCACATTCCAGGCCAAGCACTCTGGTTTGCAGAGAAATTGGTGCTAACCCTGACTGATTTGTCTGTCTATTCTTTTCTCAAGTCTATAGACACCCTGGTTGATGCTCCAGTCTGTAACACTCCCCATGCCCTAGTGTGGGTTTGGTTCATCTGATTTACTGCCTATTGCTACTGTTTCCTGCAGCTCTTCCCCTTATTCCTCTGCCTCAGCCACTTCCCCTGCTCCTCTGCTACCCATGTCCTTAGTTACAGTAAGTCATTGGTCCTGCTTTGCCTGCATGGGAACATCCCCCCCTTTTATTTCCTGAAAATTCCATGTTTTTCCATAGCACTCAATAATATTTCATGCTGTTCTCCTAGTTCATTTCAGGTGGGCTCCCCTTCATTCTGCCCTGTCAGCCTTCGCTGTGACCTGCGTTTGTGCAGCGAGTTCTCATAGTTCATTCCCGTTCAGGGAACCTGATGAATGTCATTGCTGCCAGGAGAGCCACCTCCAGCAGGAAATGGGGGCTGGCAATTGATAGATGTCCTGCCAATGTGTGAGCTCCTCTGTCTTCATTCACAGAACACTCTACATCTTCTCTCTGTTTATGGATTAATGTTAGTGCCACCAGCTGAGTTTTTTTTCTCACCTATCCGATGGACAATTTGACATAACACACTTGCTGAGAAGTGGAAGATCCAGGTTATCCATCTCAAACCCCGTGGGGTCATTTCTTGTATTACAGCAGCAAAAATAGTTTGACCTGTCACATCTCCCTGCCCTTGGGATTGTAATCTACTAGTTTTGTGTATGCTGCTCTTCCCAATTCCTTTTCCTCTTCCCATGCATACATATTATCCCTCAAATCATCTTCCTCTGATGATTCTAATTCTCCCTTGCTTTCTGCAGCTACAGCAGCTATTTTTAATGTTTGCATCCTGATTTGCTTTTGCAAGCATCTAATTTTAGCCTTGCATTTAATATAATGCAGTTTCTTTGGAGCTCTCCCTTGCTCCAGGGTGAGTCCCTGCACTATGCATGTTTAATCCTGGAATGTGCTCCTGCAATTTTCTGCTGCTGCAGTTTTTCTTTCTCTTTTTATGAATTAAGAAAGTTGTACTTCCTTACTATGTTTTTGAGATGCTAAATTGCTAAGTTCCTTGATTTCTTCCAGACACAATTTTCAGATCCAAGCAGTGGATGTTCTGCTTTTACCCTGGCTCTAAGAACGCCAAATGTTTCATCAGCTTCCCAGAACAGTGCCACTAAATCAGGAAGTTCATCCTCAAGTTTCAGCTCTTAAGCTTTATGCTACCTGGAGAACATTTATCCTGCAGCACCCACTGTTCTCTGGGCTGGATTGACACATCCTTCCTTCCATGGAGAGGTGCCTATAACCTGGAAGATATA